CCGCCGTCACTGCCATGTGCCCCCAGTCTCTGACCTGGCCATTGGCAACAGCTTCCCCCAGGGCTGCGCCTTCCCTCTCACCTAGACTGAAACCCCTCAGCCTCTCTGAGCTTTTCCTTCATCCACGGACACCGTGTGTAGATGCTGCTCCCATCACATCCTTCCTGCGTAAAAACCGCCAACAGCTCTCCTCTGCCTGCTGGACACAAATGCATGTCTAGGTTTGACGTGAAGAGCCCTTTCTCTCTGTTCTGTCAGACCCCAACATGTGGCTCCCAAACGGGACTGTGGGGAGGTGGGGTCTCTTCTCACCCACTATCCAGGGAGATCCAACTCCTCACTTCACCACCAACCCCAACCCTGGCTCATCACAGCAATGCAGGAAGGCTTCCAGCCCACACCGGCATCTCCTAGAACCTTATGAACGCTGTGCTCTCCACACCCATCCTGGTCCTGACTGCTTTGTGGGCTCTGGTCTCACTTCCCCACCGGCCTGCAGGCGCCCTTATGAAAGCACACGAGAGGCTCTGCAGACACTCCTCAGCAGGACTGAGCTGACAGGAGGGAGAGGCGGCGAGGAGAAGGGAGTGAGATGCGGCCGTCCACCCGTTTACCTGCCAAGCCTTCTTCCGTAAGTCAAGAACAAACTCAGGACTTGGAGGAGGTGCTCAGGGACCACTCGCTGGGCATGTCCTCTCCCTTCCAGAGCTATTTGCAGCTTATTTTCCAGCCACTGAGATGGTCCCGATACACAAGAAGTGCTGAATCATGGGCAAGTGCTCACGTTTTCAAGCAAAAACTGTCCCAGAGAGGAAATGAATCACCTGCAGGTATGAAGGGGATCCGAAGGGAACCTAAACGAGGCCTGATGTGCCTTCCTGAAGGTGGTCCATTTTACATTTGGGGGCCCTCCCTCCCTGTCAAATTTCTCAGGTCTTTACCAGAAAGATATCTGTACCTTTTGTAACAAAACTGAAACAACATGAATTGAATTGTATCGATCCTTAGCCTGTCTACACCAGGGCCAAGTCTAACACGGCTGCCCAAGGCTTGGTGTCCTAGGACTGCTGCCTTCAGCACCATTCTTTGTGCACGTTTAGTGTCGTTACCAGGGGCGCATGCTCATTCGATTAGAACCGGGGACTTTGCTAAGCTGGCAGTTGACAGGGAAAGAGGAATACAAAATTCTCATTACCTTCCTTCACAAATATCCATCTTCAGTTGTAAGAAATACAAATGCCTACGGAACAATTATTTTCATTAATTCATCATACTCAAATGGAAATATGCAAAAATATATATATATATAGATGTGTCAAGGATAAGACCTATACATTTGAAAAACAAAATACATAAAGGCACATTTCTGTCTAAACCATCGGGTACTATTTTGTACATTTCAAAGCTGCCTCTTCAGTAACAACGGCTCGTGTGGCTGCCTCGGTCTTGATTGGCAGGGGCGACTGCCAGTTAGCCTCCTGCCAACACATGCTGTCCTAGGGGGTGGCTGAGCAGGGATGGACAGGGTAAAAGCAGCCTGTCAAGGATCAGCTGGTCAGTGAGCGCCCCCACCCTCAGCCTGGACCTCCCCAATCAAACTTGGGGTGCCCGAGAGCACCAGGACCTACAGGCGTTGCTCACGGGCAGCCCCCACGCATTGAAGGGGCTGCTGTTCTGAACACGGCATTTGCACACCCACATACCCTCTGCACGAAGTTGCTGAGGAGAGGAGGGTCTGTGAGGACATCTGGGGAGCAGGCACCCAGCTGGGTTTTTTCCTGTGTCCCAGGAACTGTGGGGGCTCCAGCAAAAGTGTATTAGTCAACTGTAGGCTGCCGGGACCTCCGAGCTGGATTCGGCACTTCTTTGTAAGCAATGTCACTTCAAAACCCGGGGTCTGATTTGTGGGCAGAGCTGGGTAAGTGGTCACAGGCCCCTCAGCATCCTGTGAGCCTGCCCTCCATCCAGGGAACGGGAGACGGAGGCACCCACAGCGCCATGCAGGCTGGGAAGGGCCCTGCAGTGTTATATTTAGGGATGTGGCACACCCATGCCACTTGGCTGCTAGCTCCCACTCTTTTTTAAAGCCTGGTCTCCAATGGGATAGACATTCCAGCGTCTGGCCAAGATGACAAAAGCGAAACTTCTTGAAATATGATACAGATGCCGCAGAAGTGTTCAGGGGCAGGAGAGAGATAATTTCGGCAGTTTAAACAGATCCTTCTCATTATTTCTTCAAATCTATGTTCAAAGGTGAAGGTGTTGGTATTTTGAGACGTGACTGCTTCACGTGGTATTAAAACTTCCTATTTGCACAGTTCTGGGCTGTATGCATGATATTTTAGAACTTATTGCCTCATTTCAGCCTCATAATAACTCTGTGAGGTAGGGACCACCACCTCCGTTTTTTACAGATGAGGACACTGATATTCAGAGAGGTTATGGGGGGTCAGTTATGTCTCATTTTAACCTGGACACTTATGCTATGAAAAAAATATGACTATGCTACAAATTTCTTATGCACCTAATGACTAAAAAGCTTATGATCAATTTCCTAACTCTGATGTTGTTGCTTTGACTACAATTATCATCAGCTACTCTTAATGCACTGAAAACCAGCCCTGAGAGACGGTAGAGGACAGATTTGCTGATTCACGCTTATTCCATAATGGAATCTCTACCTTTTCCACCTAGGACGACATAATCAGTCCTTTCTAATTTGTTTCTATGTTGACCCAAGCTAACATTCAACCAGAATTAAGTGTTCTCTCCTCCCACAACGCTACCGAGAGAAAGAAGAGAAGGGAGAGAATTAGAGATAATCCAAGGGTAAATCTGGGCTTTCACTGACGAGCCTAGCTAATCGGAGTATCTTCCTAGGGATCTAAATGAGAACATGAACCTGGACACCACCATTCATCAAACACTACCCTGTCGTATATTCAGCAACGCTTGTGAGTGAACCCCACGGCTCCATCATGAAGAGGTCAGACAGTGGGGTGAGACCCGAACCTAGCAGGCCTCCTGGACATCTTAAAGGAGACTCACTTTGAGTCTGCCAGTAAATGAAATTTTGTTTAGAATGATCTAAATTGATCAGAAACAGCAGCTGTGGAGGCTCACCATCAAGGAGACATTTATTTAGCAGTTAGAATAAAAGAAAGGCTCTGAGGAGAGATGCTGGCTGCACCTGTCGTCAGAAATGCAATGATCACTCCTAGGGTGCACCCCATCCAGGAGCTCAACTTCAGAAAAAGCAGAACACGCCTCCCTGCCTGGATCCTCAGGAAAGAGCAAATGCCACCTCTGACATTCCTTCTTTCACTCAAGAGCTAAATTTCTAAAAGGGAACTTAACGTTTGGATAAGCTACAGAGCTGGGGCTTCAGAAAATGCTATGTGCCAGGAACACAGGTAAAACTATTTAAGTAAAAAACAAACAACACACACACACACACAAGTAAATTAATGGTGGAAGCCTGGCCCAGCTCTACGGGAGGCACAGGGGTGGCTGCTGCCAGGGCTCCTGCTGCTTAAAGGGAAATTTGGTGCCCAAATCCCAGGAGATGACAGCTCTACCCTACACTGCACAGGAGATCCCACCTATGTGAAGATGGGAGGTGGGGTGGTGGGGTTGGGTGTCAGTCCTGAACCACTGAATTTTAGGAAGCGCACACGGACAAATTCAATTTTATATGGGACCTGGGTAAAAACAAAAATTAGTCTGTTACTCATCTTGAGCCTAAACCTGCCCTTCTGTGGCCTCCACCCCTGGCCATAATTCTACCAGCCAGCACATCTCATTGCCCCCTCCCATCATAGCTGTTTGCAGCTCTGAAGGCAGCCTTCCCTTCCTTCCAAGTCTTCCCTCCATCCCGAACTCCCCATATTTTCCTCAGATGTCAGGGAGGCGGAGCAGGGAGACTCTGCTGGCTTCCGGACGGAGTGAGCTTCCTTCCCACGGGCTAGGGAAGTGAACATCCAGCCACCAGGACGGGTGCTGGGGAGGGGCCCCTGGGTGAGGCGGGCCCAGCAGGCTCTTCACTCAAGTTCTTTCTTTGGAGAGCACTGCAGGGAGGAGGGTGATGGGTGGCAATAACCAATTTAGGCCGCACAGTTCACATTTGGAGATAGAACCCATTCGTTGGTAGTAAAATCAATTTAATGGGCCACAGATGGCATTTTAAAAGGAAAAAACAACAGAAAACTTCATAGTACGTCTGCATTTCCTATTGTTTTATGAAATGTTTGCTTCGGTAATTTACATATACTTGTATAATGAATCAAAAAATATTTTTACTGTGGGGTTGTGATTTAAAAACCTCACTGTACACATGTATATACACACACCATATATACATGTGTGTGTATACATACACATATACACATATACATACACACACATATACACACACATACACACATATATGACCCATCATGCCATTTTTAAAGTATTCCTTGAATAGAACTTGATATTTAGGGATGGCTCAGGGTCATCTCAAACACATACTCTTACAGACTCTGTCACCACTTTGTGTCCGCGGGCTTATGAACTGACCTGCCAGGGTGAGCGTTACTACACTATCCCTCAGTCCGCCCGAGTAAGGCCATTACGGGGGAAAACTCACACCGTGTGCACTGCCCGTGGTTGCCCAATGAATCACGACAGCATCTCTTACACTGGCTTAAAATTTAACTTCACCGTAAACACAGTCAAATCAACAGGGTCTGCTGTTGTAGATGGAAGAGGTGCACAAAGAAGGCAAAACAGAGTAACAGACTAATATTTGGCCTTTAAACACATTCAAAGTGAAAATGTGATCATGCGACTACCATTAAAAAAAGAAAGGGGAAAACCAGGGCAGCATCCTGCGTCTGAGTTAACATCGCCTCCTTGGTGGCGGTCTCCTGGCCACAGTGAGCAGAGCAGGATTCCATATTCCTGAACATCCATTCACTGCTTTTCCGGGTGGAAAAGTTTCCCTCCCGAAGGAAAATAAAAGTATCAATAATAAAAGGGCTTAATGTAGCCACGGGGGAAAGCAGAGGCATGGCTGAGTTCCTATAGTACCTGTTCAAACAGCGACTACGTTCCTGTGCCCGCCCCCTCCATTCCAAACACTGTTCCAGCCCGCAAGGCCCACGCGCCAACACAAGGCTGGGCCAGACACCAAGTCCTGAGGGGTAAACAACTCCTATCGGCCCTCTTTCCCTTATCTGGGTCCCATATTGTCTACACTGGCTGATTCACTGAGGAAAGACCTGGCCCAACTAGCTCTCCTTTCCAGCTCCTACCAGCTGGGGGTCGGACAGAGAATTCTTAAGAGACCTCCTGTTACCCTAAAGAGCCTCAATTCTAAAGCCCTTGGAGACACCATGCTACTTGACCTGCAGGTGACTGTTTTACAAACTCGTCTTCCAAACCCTGTCCACATTAGTAGAAAGGGACTTCATTCTCTGAACGCAGGAGCTCAACAGGCCGGAGAGGCGGGGGTGGTGGGGGAGGCAGGAGGCAGATGGGCGTGCCCTGGGGATCACACGTCAGGACGGGAGAGAAGTGGGCCCGAGACTGAGAACGAATTGGCCAATTAAAATTTCAACCTGTGTACCCTGATTTTTAATTGGATCATAATGATTGGCGCAGTTATACCCAAAGAAAGTATTTGGCCACAGTGATAAAATAGAGTACATTTTTAGTGATTACTCATTTTTATATACTAAATAGAAAACTTTAGAAAAATGTCATTACCTGGTTTGTTCTTGTTGCAGTGTGTTGGGATCAGGTATAAAAAATCTTACTCGAAAATGCAGGGTACAGGGGAAACCTCCTACAACAGTTTTCAAAAACAAATTAAATTTTCCCTTTAAAAAAAGTCAATGTATGTAAGCAGGCTGCTCTTCCATAAGTGGTGCATTTTTCACTAGACCACAGCTTTTCCATCAATAAAAGCATTCATTTCAAAAAATAGGAGTGCACAAGTTAACTGATTGCTCAGAAATCGTCACGTCTACGAGAAGTAAAATATTTTTGCAGCATCAGCACACAGTAAGGCATTATCTACTTCTTATTACAGGCTTAACTCAGGGCTGTGTTCAAACAGTGCACTCCACTATCCGTATTAGAAGTTCGAAGGATCCTTTTAAATCAGCAAATTATACAAATGCACAAAGAATGCTATCTCCTATATATAGTGATTTTACACTTTGCAAACATTTTCACATACATTCTCGATTTTAACACCATCACGAGTATGAGTAGGCGAGGCTGCTACTGGTAGCATCCTTTTATGTATAAGCAACAGGGTGACAGGTGTGGCTTGTCTTAGGTCACACAGCTGATCACAAAACCAAAATTATAGCACTGGGGTTCCTGATTCTGCCATGCCACATTTCAAAAACATTTTTGTACTAAAAAAGGTCATTCTTCTCATGCAAAGTGAATTCCAAAAGTGATTAATATACTAGCAAATATTACATAGTTACCATACTCAACTATGGCTTTATGTGACAATACCAAGAGTCAAACCACTTGTATGAATGAAACAGCCCATTTCTTTTGCTAGCTATAGCAATAGGAGCGTACCAGACGGTGTTGCTAAGATCGGTGTTCTTCTTAATGTCTCTCTCTCTCCTCTCCCTTACTCAGTCAATAGCCATTGATCCTATCTAAGCGCTTAGCGCTTACTTGCTCTCTGAACCTCAAGCCTTCTCTTCTCCACCAGGCTCCTCTCACTCACCTCCTCTCCCTTAATTCATTCTGGGCTCCACCCTTCCCGCTCTTTAGTAGCATCTCTCTGTACCACTGGCTTGTGTCAAAGACTAATTGGTGTGTGTGCACCCATGAATGGACCTCAGTACAGGTGCCTGGGTACCAGGGTGGGTGGTGCTGTTAACTCCAGGTCCAGGCTGACCCCCTGCACATCCTAACTGGGGGTTAACCTGCACTGGGACCCACCCATGGTTGATGAGCTGTATGTTATACTTGTGACATCACCTACCTAGGCCTTCGTTTCCAGAGATTGGAATTACGCTGTTGGAAAGGACTAGGTGTGTGTGTCTGTCTCTTTTCCACCCTGCCTCTCACATGGGGCTAAGAAAGACCATCTTCCTTCCTTTGTGAAAAGAAAGTGGGCTCCCTGGATCTTGGCTGCTTTCATCTTTCCCTGTCTTGCTCACAGCTGGTGAGGACCCTCGGACACTAGGCTGGAAGCACCTCGCTCATGTCACCTGGACCACCTGGAATACAGGTGCCTGATGTTACAGGCATGCTGACGATCGGAGGGGAGAACTGGGCCATGATACACTAACACTGAGTGTTCAAGTGAAATGAGAGGTCACACCCACCTTTTAACTGCTTCCTGATGGGTTTGCTTGATTCCAGCCATCTCTGCCGGGTAAGAAAATATAAGATATAAAACCAAACTGTGCAGAAGTCTAGCACATCTGAAAGGGATGGTACTCACGGGAGAGTCCACTGATTCATCGCCATGCTGCAAACCAAAATATTCCTTCTCAGTCACGCACAAGTGGTTGAATGCCATATCCAGAAGAACTTGACCGGTATCTTGTTTCTAGAAAAAAAAAAACAAAAAAACATCGCGTGGGCAACATTTTAAAACGAATTAAGAATTGGTAGTTAAAAATCTTTATTGTAGGGAAAAGCAGTTAAAACATTCACAGAGATTTTATGTGCACATGATAAGAAATGTTTCACATTAAGAAGCCACATGGTACATATGGGAAGTAGGCTAAGAAAAATGACATAAGAAGACAGTACCGTTTAATTTTGTAAGACTTCTTGCTTCCCCTTAGCTGAGATTCCCAAGCGACAAGGACTAAATTGGAAAACTCGGCAAATCACAGTCAGAGCGGCTCTCGGTGACCCACCCTCGGATTATCCCCAGCACAACACTAATCCCACATGGGCTTCCGTCGGTTCCCCGGGAGGCACGGGACGTGCGCACGGGAAGAAAAAACTCTCTGACCACGTGAAGGAAGAGAGCTAAGAATACTCAAATGACACCCCAAATCCCCTCAAACTGATCTGGCATGTGACGCCCTGGGGTATTATCTGCCTCACTGCTCCTCGCCATCTGAAGTGAGGAGCCAGCGGCGACATTCAGCCGCAGGGCACATCCAGAGCGGGACTCAGCCACCTTCGCCGCTTAGAGCTGACGGAGCGGCACGAGCTGAGCACGGGGACGGAGGCGCAGGAAGTGCCCCTTTCTTCCCACCCGAGAGGCCAGCCGTGGAAGCAGCGACTGTCCCACGGCGTGTCGAACGCTGTCGCGTGCCGTGAATGCTCAGGGCACAGTGAGCACACAAGAGGACACACACGAATGTTCAACTCGACCTGGGGACGAGCGGAGGCAACCCCTGACCTGGGTCTGGGAGGGTGACAGGGCCGAGTGAGTGACACCCCTTCCCTCCAGGTGCAGGAGCTGAGAAAAGCCATTTCCAGCAGGTGGCCCGGCACAAAGGCCCAGGGGTGGGAAACAGCGTGGGGTGTTTGGGGAACGGCAAATTCTACTCTAACGGGCTGACTTCTCAGGAACCTTTTGAACCAAGCCATTTAACTTAAGGACAATTTGAGTCAGAAATAGACCTCGAGAAGCAAAGGCAGCTCTTTTTTTTTTTGAGTGCAGATAATGTACCTGAAAATAGGTCACAGTGACCAGGACAAAGACGTTAGGTAACTGTCAGGCCCCTTCCCACAGCCTCTTCTTCGGCAGGGTCTCCTGCTGTTTGATCTGAAGTGTGTGAACACGAGACACGCCCAATGCCTGCACACATCCCCTTTCCTTGCCCGAGGGTCCTGTACCTGCCACTCCCTCTGACCAGGACACATCTCCATCACAAGGGAATCGTGACAGTGTGGAAAAGACGACCTGGTCCATATTCCAAACTGTGAGATTCTCTCCCCCTGTATTAGGAAACGATCCCTCGATGCGTTAAAGAGCTACCTGCTCCTTTTGTTGAAGTGATTATTTCTATGCCTTTATATTTCATAGATTATTAACAACTATAAACTACTGAACACCTACAAAGAGCCAGACATGATAATACTATGTGTACTTTTTAATACAATGTCTCATCTCTGCAGCACCTTCACAAAGTCATCACCAGCATCCCCTTTGCTGATAAGCAGAGAGGCCCCAGGATACTCTGTCTTGTGCCATCAGCTGGTGGATGGTCTGACCACCTGACTCAGGTCCGCTTAATGCCAAAGCCTGCGTCTTCCCACCACACCGCCTCTCCCTCCTCTGGAGCGCGTAACTCGCCCATTCCAGCATCTATTGTGCACAACTCGCCCAGTTCTCAAAGGAAATTGAAATATGATAAAGGACACATTTATAATAAGAACAAGCCTCCCAGCCCAGTCCCCATCCCATGAGAGGTCATCAGTCAGTGACCGGCGTGTTCCCTGGGCTGGGCTAAGGACAACCGATGTCCAGGTCGGCTTCCCGGATGATGCCCACTCCTGGTCAAAACGATCCGGGCTGAAGGGTCTGAATGGGACAGTGCAAACAATCCCCACGAGTAGAAAAACAGAAGACGCTGGAGACTGTAAGCTGCCAGCAGGCCCTCAAATTCAAGCTCAACATGAGTAAGCTTTGGCCAGGCTGCTGGAAGTGTGGGGAACCAGCACTGGGAGCAGTGTGATGATGACAAAGAAATTCACGGCTCAGAATGACTGGGCACCTCCTGGACGCCAGGCTCTGCTCTAAGGCTTATGTGATCCCTGCTCTGGGTGGGGGCTTTCCCTGGGCCCACCTACAGGGCTCACCACCCTCCTGAAACATGTTCCTGCCTGGGATTCACAGACTCTTGCTCTTGGTCTCCGCCTCCCTCCCTGGATAGTCCTCTGTCTCCTTTAAGTTCCTTTCTCATCTCTCCATCCTTTAAGCATCGAAGCTCCTTCGTATCTCCCGTCTACTCACTTCTCAGGGATTCTCATTCAGGTCCACAGCTTCACATACTGCCATCCTGGTAATGCCCACACATATATCCCAGCCCAGCCCCTGCTGTTAAACTTCTGACTCATGTATCTACTACCAATGTCTACATTCCCTCGTAGGGGAGTAACTGGCCTCTCGAACCCAACAGTTCTGGTTACAGTAACAGACCTGGTCACTTCTGCTCCCCTCGCTGCCTTTCTCATCTCTGTAACTGCAACTCTGTCCTGCCAACTGCTCCGGCCAAAACCCCGGAGTCACCTTGAGGCTTCTTCCACATCCCAAATCCCATCTGTCAGCAAGTCCCACTGGCTCCACCTTCAAAATATTTCCGNGGATACTCTGTCTTGTGCCATCAGCTGGTGGATGGTCTGACCACCTGACTCAGGTCCGCTTAATGCCAAAGCCTGCGTCTTCCCACCACACCGCCTCTCCCTCCTCTGGAGCGCGTAACTCGCCCATTCCAGCATCTATTGTGCACAACTCGCCCAGTTCTCAAAGGAAATTGAAATATGATAAAGGACACATTTATAATAAGAACAAGCCTCCCAGCCCAGTCCCCATCCCATGAGAGGTCATCAGTCAGTGACCGGCGTGTTCCCTGGGCTGGGCTAAGGACAACCGATGTCCAGGTCGGCTTCCCGGATGATGCCCACTCCTGGTCAAAACGATCCGGGCTGAAGGGTCTGAATGGGACAGTGCAAACAATCCCCACGAGTAGAAAAACAGAAGACGCTGGAGACTGTAAGCTGCCAGCAGGCCCTCAAATTCAAGCTCAACATGAGTAAGCTTTGGCCAGGCTGCTGGAAGTGTGGGGAACCAGCACTGGGAGCAGTGTGATGATGACAAAGAAATTCACGGCTCAGAATGACTGGGCACCTCCTGGACGCCAGGCTCTGCTCTAAGGCTTATGTGATCCCTGCTCTGGGTGGGGGCTTTCCCTGGGCCCACCTACAGGGCTCACCACCCTCCTGAAACATGTTCCTGCCTGGGATTCACAGACTCTTGCTCTTGGTCTCCGCCTCCCTCCCTGGATAGTCCTCTGTCTCCTTTAAGTTCCTTTCTCATCTCTCCACCCTTTAAGCATCGAAGCTCCTTCGTATCTCCCGTCTACTCACTTCTCAGGGATTCTCATTCAGGTCCACAGCTTCACATACTGCCATCCTGGTAATGCCCACACATATATCCCAGCCCAGCCCCTGCTGTTAAACTTCTGACTCATGTATCTACTACCAATGTCTACATTCCCTCGTAGGGGAGTAACTGGCCTCTCGAACCCAACAGTTCTGGTTACAGTAACAGACCTGGTCACTTCTGCTCCCCTCGCTGCCTTTCTCATCTCTGTAACTGCAACTCTGTCCTGCCGACTGCTCCGGCCAAAAACCCTGGAGTCACCTTGAGGCTTCTTCCACATCCCAAATCCCATCTGTCAGCAAGTCCCACTGGCTCCACCTTCAAAATATTTCCGGACTTGGTTTACTCAGCCACCTCCACACCACCACCCTGTCCAATCATCATCTCTCCCCTGGACTGTTATAGCCTCTCAGCCCTTGGTCCCAGTCTACTGTCAACAGAGCATCCAGAGTGATATCTGAGTCAGATCATGTCGGTCTCTGCCCAAACCCAGCAATGCTTTCTGCCTCAGAATAAACTCAGTGCCCTCACAGTGACCTACAAGGCTCTGCACCAGCCTCCCACCCCAACTGCCCTGTTATCTCTCTGGCCTCTCTAGCCACTCTCCCCGCCTATTCAGCTCCTAACACACTGGCCTGAACATACCGTGCCACAACCACACTAACCAGGATTCTGCCCCAGGGCCTTTGCACTGCTGTTTCTTCTACCTGGAATGTGCTTCCTCCAGAGAACAGGATTCTTTCCCTCACTTCCTTTAGGTGAGGTCTTCCCTGATGACGCCTATAACATGATAACCGCACTCCCTTGTCCTTCCTTGGCATTCTCTCCGTCCCCTTACTTTGCTTTGTTTCGTCTAAGCACATAATACCATTGACACAGTATACATTTGTCTATGGTCCAGTTCCTCTCCAGGATTTTGCTCTGCTTTGCTCACTGCCGCATCCTTTGTACCCAGAACAAAGCCTGGCACATAGTAGGTGCTCAGTAAATGTCTGTTAAGTAAACATTCATGTTCTTGTCAGGAAGGTGCATGGCTGAGGAATAGCTCCAGATCAACAACATAAATGTTAACAAAGGAGTCAGATATAAATTAACTGTAAGTTTACAGCAACTAGAAGAGATACTTGTAACCTTTCAGGGCTGGTTCAATCACAAAATTCTATGGATGACAATGTTAAAAGGAAACAGAAGAGAGGACAAAGTTCAGCGAACCAAAGCAGCTGCTTTTCAAGGGAGGTATGTATGACCTTGACAAAAAGCCCCTAAATCAGTGGTTTTCCAAACTCCAATGTGCATCGGGATTGCTTGGGGAGCTGTTAAAATGCAGAGTCTCAGGACTGGCTACCAGAGAGCATGTTTCAAACACCCAGGTAGAACGAGGGATTTCTATTTCTAACACGTATCCCGGGGGTTCTGATGTATTCTAAGAAATATTTACAACGACTGTGCCATCCAGAGTACAAAAAGCTACTTACATTTTAATTAAAATAAATTTAGTCCATCAGGTGTTTTTGCCACACTTCAAGTGTTCAATAAAACACTTCGCAGCACTGCAGAAAGTTCTTTCAGACAGTGCCACCCTAGAGATGGCTTTTCTACAAACTGGCTTAAGAAACAGGTCACAGGTGTATGTCCTAGCCCCCTAATTAGATTCTAGAGACAACTAACTAGACAATTACATGCCCTTGCTGGGGGGTGTCCTTCTACTACAATAATGTCCCCCACCTGCAAAAGAAAGAGGTCCTGACCTTAGAGGAGTGGCCTGGGGAGCTGTGGAAGTGGATGGGAGAGTTGGGTAGAAAGTTGGGGAATATCTCTCTCTACTGTCCATTTCCACTCTGTCAGGCGAGGGGCCCAAACTCCCATGTCCTTAGTCATCTGTCTGCATCTTGTCCCCTGAAGGGAGACAAGGCAGCTGCCCTAACCCTGGACCAGGAAAGCGAAATTAGCAGCCACCATACTGTGCCCTCACGAAAACTGCCCTCTCCCCTCGCCTCCCAGCCATCAAGGTCCCTAGTGAGCTGGGCTCAGCAGGAAGCAGGCCTATGGGTGGGGCAGGAGACGCAGGGGTCAGTTTTTGTTCCCTTTACATTCTTGTGGCCTGTAATCACCCTCCAGTTATCTTCTCATCCCCCACCTTCTCTTTCTGATACCTTTCCTTGCACACTGAACTTTCCAGGCTGGGGCAGATGCTGGCAGCCAGCCCAGGACTGGGGTTGACCCCTTGAGGACTGGCCAGAGGATGGGAGAGACAGGCAAAGGTCATGAGCCTGTGTGGTAACTGGGGTGGGGCGGGGCAGCAGAGACTCTTCACAAATCTTACTGCTGACCTGGGACACTGGAGACCTCATTCCTAACCCTGCCTCTGCCTCAGGCTTGAAGCCAGGCCTTCATCCTGCCACCTGTGAGGCTGACCGGCTCACTACCCTCCAGACAGGACCCACCCATTTGCACATTTAATTAGCACCTGCTGTGCGCCCAGCCCTGTGCCTGGTACAGGGGAAATGACATTATTCTTGTCCTCCAGGATCTCACAGTTTAGAGAGAGACATGTAGCCCAGTAAATACAACTGCTGTTTGTGCAATGACATGGGCCCTAATCAGGCATATACAGGGACCGTATCTGGAGAACTAGCTCAGGAAGGTGACAAAGACTTCACAGAAGAAGTAACATCTAAGAATCATACAAGTTCACGTCACAAAGGAGAGGGGGAAAGACACTCCAGGTGGAAGTGAGAATGTGGGCATAAATTTTTAAAAATTGATTTTAGAGAGAAGGGGAAGAGGGAGAGGGAGAGAGAGAAACATCAATGTGAGAGAGAAACAGTAATTGGTTGCCCCCCCACCCCACCCGCACACACCCCGAACCAGCAACCTGGGTATGTGACCTGACTGGGAATTGAACCCGACACCTTTTGGTGTATGGGTTGATGCTCCAACTGAACCCACCGGCCAGGGCATGGGCATAGTTTTTAAGGATATTTTCAGTCTAATCTCAACATACAAGACCTGAGGTCTCAAGCTTTCATTTTACAATAGTCTTCATTGCTTGGTTTATAAGATGAAGGAAAAAATTATTTCTTAGGGGCATGAACTCCGAAAAAGTTAAATTTGGAGAACTTACATTAACTTTAAAGGTCTGTACCAAGCCATCTAAAAAGCGGATGCTGCACACGACTTCAGATCGAGTTTTCTCCTTGGGTAATTCTGAGGTACGGATGTTATTAATTCTTCCACCAAACGCGCGTAATCGGGAGGTCATAACTATCGTTGAATGACCTGCAACACAAGATATTCCCGTTAGCTCTCTGACACGCAAATTAACAGTTACGAGCAAATGCACCTGACAGCCTACCCACCCCTCCCGTCTGCTCTGATCTTCACCATGAGGACCTCACGAATAATGAGAGCTGGATAAAAGCTCATGCTTCTGTTTGAGTCTGACTGCTAAGAAGCTCTAAGCAAAACTTATTGTTAAATTATAACGTGTTCATAGGACTACATGGCTTGTTTGTGTGTTTTATTATCTCCCTGGTTTAAATCTTCTGATATATAAATATATTTCCCAGGCTTTAAGTTTACTTACGTTTTACTATTTTATATATTTGTGTACCCTATCCCTAAAGTTTTACAGAACTACATGTGATATAAAAATGATTTGAAGCCCGGCCACTGTGGCTAAGTGGTTGAGAGTCAATCCATGAACCACAAGATCACGGTTTGATTCCCAGTCAGGGCACATGCCCCGGTTTCAGGCTCAATCCCTAGTGGAGGGCCGTGCAGAGGGAGCGAATTGATGATTCTCTCCCAGCGTTGATGTTTGTCTCTCTCTCTCCCTCTCCTTTCCTCTCTCTGAAATCAACAAAAACATATTTTTAAAAAATGACTTAAAATATGAAGACATTTATCGATACATTAGATATTAAAATTAAGAACTTCTATTCATTAAAAGACATGATTTAAAAGAGTAAAAAGGCAACCCACAGAAATATATGCAATATGTATATTTACAAATATATAAAGAGCTCCTATAAATAAGAAATAACAAACAAACGACCCGTTAGAATACAGGAGTGCCACCAGTTGTCTGAGAAATGCAAATTAAAACCACAAAGCAGTAGTACTGCATACCCACCAGAATGGCTACAATGAAATCTGACAAAACCAAGCGTCGACCAGGGCGTGGAGCACCCAGAACTCTCATGCACTGCTCGTGAGTACACTCTGGTTGGCTGGGCAGAAGAGCCAATAGAGAGGAAGGACGTAAGAGCAACCGAATTTAATGTTCCCTTTTATTAATTCTCTGCAAACTTTCTATAATGAACTGGGCCTTTGCACATGCTGTTCCTTCTGCCTGAAAGCTACTCCTGCTTTTTACTTGATTAACTCCTACGCGCACCTCAGTGCTCAGCACAGCATCACTTCCTCAGGGAAGCCTTCCCGGTGTCCCTGGCCACTCACTTGTGTTACAGGCTCTCCTCTACAGTGCTCATCGTAATTTCACATTTATAACTAATGATGTGATTATTTAACATTTATTTCTCCCACTTAGAGTAAGCGTCATGAGGATAGGAACCAGGTCCGGTTTTGCTCACTGTATCTCTAACACTTAGGTCTGGGAGGNTGATGTGATTATTTAACATTTATTTCTCCCACTTAGAGTAAGCGTCATGAGGACAGGAACCAGGTCCGGTTTTGCTCACTGTATCTCCAACACTTAGGTCTGGGAGANTTTATTTCTCCCACTTAGAGTAAGCGTCATGAGGATAGGAACCAGGTCCGGTTTTGCTCACTGTATCTCTAACACTTAGGTCTGGGAGGCAGTCAATGAATTTCTGAATGAATCAATGAATGAAAAGCAGAGTAGGGTGAAACATGAAGCCAAGATTTACAGTGTGGGAAAAACAGCAGTCCAACATGACAGACAAACTTGTGTTGGTGGGAGCAAGCAGGAAGGATGGGATGGGGGCTTCGATTAGAATGCAGCATGGGGGTGTCCCAGAGACCAGTGCTCCTCACACTGCAACGAGCATAGATGGCCTTGCTGGGGGATCTTAACGTACAGACTCGGATTCAAGTAGGTCTGGGTGGGGCCCTGAAGTCTGCATTTCTTGGTCTCCTGGGTGATGCTGAAGCTGCCGATCTGGGGTCCACACAGTGAGGGAAAAGCAGCACCGCATGTCAGCGCAGGGTCAGGTTTGGGGATCATCAGCAAGGGGGGGGATGAAGACAAGGCAGAATCCAGCCTCGGGGAGCCACAGAGGTCCAGCTCAGTGGCCGGAAGAGAAGCCACAAGGGAGAGGAAAGCTGTAGAGAAGACGCATCCAAGAGCAAAGGGTGCCGTGATCCCTTATCCTGTTTGAGGAGCTCCAGGCGCACCTCTTTTCTTCTGTAGGCCGGAATAGGGAATCTCATATTAATAATAAAAAAAAAGTCGTGGGACCGGCAGTGGAAGGAAACTTGTTCTGAAACTTATAAGATTCCACCCACCCGACCACCTCCACCAGCTGGCCATCTCCAATGCACATGTCATCAGAAGCAGGAATGCGTTTTCTGAGTGATACCAAAAGTTACCGAAAGACAACAAATGTGTTCGCTCCATAATGCCTTAACCGCGCTGAACTAAAAATGTCACATTTATTGCTTTCTCTTTTTCTAAGAATTTCAGGTGGGTTATGACTTTTTTAAAAATATACAATAGAACTATTAGTGGGAGGTGCACATCAGAATCACCTGGGGGGCTTTTAAAAAATATGCCATCCTGGCCCCATCCACAGACGGTGATTCAGCATCCGGAGGTGGGACACAAAACAACATTCCCTTTGGGACACTCTCAAAGGAAGGGCCAGGCAGTCAAGGGCTGGGGGAGTAGGTTTTCAAGGCACCTCGGGGTGTGCTGGAGACGGTCAGACTTAGCATGTAGGCTCNCACCTCGGGGTGTGCTGGAGACGGTCAGACTTAGCATATAGGCTTTGCAGAATCTGAGCCATTCACTGCGAGCACACTTGTGGGAATCAGGCAGAGCAACAAAAACAGAGAGCTCGTCATAATCATACCATGACTCTGGACAGAAAAAAACCAAAGATCATTTCAAATAGGAGCTGCCAAATGAAAGTCACCTGGACTGAAGTACCACTTGCAGGCACCAATTTTCAAACTGCTCCTCACCCAAGCGGCTCCATATCCCTGGCACCAGCGTGGGTACCAGTGGGTCTTCTGAACTTAACCATAGTTAATGGCTCTCCCTGGAGTAATCATACAGTAGGCCAGTGACCCACTGGAGACACACTCTGTCTTCCTCACATCAATCTCTGTTACATAGAGGATTGAAACTTAATGACAACGTCCTAAGTAGGCACTTCACGAAAGTTGCAGAAATGTTCTTCCCACGACTGTTCCTAAAGCAAACCTCGATAAGAGGAAGCCTGATGATAAACAGCCACATAATCAAGCCATGAAGTGTTTTCAGAGTGTCTTGAAATTACATCTTAAACAACCCAGTCAGGACAATGGATGCTGACTAACTGCCCTGCTTCCTGCACCGCGGCAATTGGGGAACTTGGGGTTTCTATGGCTTCCTTTATAAGCCTCTGAATTCTAAACAAAGCCACAACCCAACCAGGAACACTCTGGCCTCTTCAACCACAAATGATTACAGCTGCAGCTGATGCATTTCACAATATGGAAGCCAAGCTTGCTCTTTGTACTTAAAAAAAAAAAGTCAAACAGTTATGAATCTGTTTTGCACAGTAACAATAAAGGTTCTACTGTGACTATAGTTGATCAAAGACTCTACTTGCAAAACAGAGAGAGGCCACAACTCACGTGTGCAGAGAAGCCCAATAGGTACAGTGAGTGTGAGGGGTAGCACCTGTAAAGTGCCCACATGATGCGGGACACAAACTAGGCACTCGATAAAAGGCATTTTATTAAAAATACCAAGCTTCTAATGTCATCAGGTGCTGGCTGTAGATTCTGTATTTTGTAGGCAAGTCTGACTTCAAATACCTTACAAATGTATAAATGTTCCATTTCTTAAAGTTCTATCTGTTTTAGGAAATAGAGTTGTCATAGACGTGAGATAGATGTTTGAGCTTCTCTACAAACTCAACGGACCCAGCAGCAGCAGCAGCAGCAGCAGCCGGGTCCCACAGCCAGCCACAGCCCGGTCATGTGAGACGCCAGAGCCCTGGTGCTCAGGGTTGGGTAACAAGGCTTAACCCCTGTCCCCTCTGGGCTCCTCATCTGCCCTGGAGCAGAGACCGAAAGAGGTGATGCTTTATTTCCTAAGGGCCCACACGCTCATCTGGGGAGCTATGTTCTTTCACAAGCCCATGACCACAGACAGAAAGAAGGGGGAGGGGCACACTCTACGCCATCAGGGAAAGTTAGAAAGAGCTCAACCTCATTTCGATCGTTTTAAAAGAAAGGGTTAGGGTTACTTCATACACTTAAAAATAAATAAATAAACAACTTAGACCCCTTTACTCAAATACAAGTGTGAGTTAAAAAAGAATGGAAGCAAGCAAGCAGTCCTGATGTATAAACACCTATCTTGTGAGTGAACCACACACACCAACCACAGGTAACTCTCTACCTGAATCATCAAGCTGACCTGGGCCAATGCTACCACCTAGTGGCCACCGGAGGAAAACAAGCCACCTTCAACCCTTCCTACTTCAAAGGAAACATGGACTGCTTTGCTCCCTTACCACAGTCAGCTTTTTTTCAAAAAACCTCTCTCACAATATATAAGCCCTTCTCCGTAGCTTGATTCCTCCCCCCTTTCCCTAACTTTTCTTCCCTGGTGAACTCAGCAGAGCTCTCTTCTCCTTCCTTTTTTTTTTTTTTGGCTATTTATGACCCCTAGCAGCAGATACCTGATCAACTGGAGAGAGACATTTCTAGCACAGAGAACTAATAAACACTCATGTGCAACCAGCCATGCTAGACGGATGAATCATAAAATTAACTGTGCTTCTCGCCAGACACCAATATTTAATAATAAATGTTTTACTTATTTCACTGCTAATATAATACCAATACTGCTTTCTCTTTTTCACTGTAAACGCACAACAGTTAGGCTGCTTCATGGTTTATCCAAGTCTTTGGGGGAGGGGGGGAGGCAAACCAGGGCCCTAATAACGACTCACATCACTCACAGCCTGACTGCATACCTACAGGGGAACATAAACGGCACTGTAGGATTGTCGCCTACACCTTCACATTGGACGGCTTCTAGTTCTGGTCTGTTTTAAGGCCAGGCCTTAACGTGTTCC